TTGAAGTTTATCATATATTCTATCAATATATTTCACAAAATATTTTTCCTCAGAAGTTCCAAAACAATCTTCAAAAACATGTCAGGGTTTATCACTGAGGCTCAGATAAAATTCGGTCTTTTGATTATTATTCATTGATTTTCCTAATTCCTTATCTCAACTTTCATTTGGGGCAAAATTGAGTTCCTTATCATCAATTTTTTTCTTTAATAAGATGTGTTTAAATTCTTTACTTCCTCTGAATTCAGGACTGTTGGAAACCAAATTAGAAGTAATTTGTTCGATAGTTTTTGTTAAAATATTAATTTCATCCTCGGGTTTTAATTCTTGGAACTGAGATTCCAGACCAGAAACAGTTATTTTTACTCCTCCTAAATACTTTTCGTTTTTAATAAGCTCATCCAGTTTTTCTAAATTAGGAAACCATTTTTTCAAATTAGAAAATGAATAAAATTCGAATTTGTAAAGTGCTTTTTTTATAATGTGCGGACTTAGATTTTTTATTCAAAAGTCTTTTTCTTTGGTTTCAATGCCTCCCTTAATTTGATTTTCAAAAAGGTCCTGGGAAAGATTAATATTTGTTCGGAGTGATACTTGGTAAGGAAAATTAAGGATCGCCGATGGCAATTCCCAGACATCTTCTCGTGGATATTTTTCCGGCTGATTAAGAAATAAAAGACCAGACTGGTAAAATTCCGTATCTTTAAATTCTTTTTTAATGATAAGTTTTCTTTTGATGGTATTATCCGGGATAATTCCGGTCTTTATCAGAGCCGAAGTTAATTCTTGGATATAACGAGGATTATAGTTGCTGTGATAGTATAATTCTTCACAAACCCGCATTTCATTTTGGAGGTCGCGGTCAAATTTTCGTTTAGAAGGGTCGTCAGTTTCATTAATTTTGAAAGGGCAATAGCGAGCCCCGCGGCCGATTAATTGAGCCTCTTTAATGGTAGTTGGTCCGGGAATATTATTTTTGGTATCTCGGGTATCATACAAACGAACGATATCAAAAAGATTAAGCACATCCCAACCTTCATTAAGTTTATCAACCGCAAAAATGGCCCGGTATTCATTATTAGGGTCCTCCAAAGTATTCACGGCTAATTGATTTTTTTCACTTTCATTTTGGCTATTAACCGAGAGCGTTTTTTCGGCCGAAAAATCTTCTTGTAGTTCGGCAACCAAATTATCTAAGGAGATATTATTACTAGCAAAATATTTGAATGATTTTATTAAAGTTTCGTCTTTGGAATTGGCTTCAGTTTCTTTAAGTTTATCACTTGTAAGCGTTGCTATGCCCCTTATAAATCTTTCTTGAAATTCTTCACTTTCCTTAATAGTTTTAGATTTAAATAAAATAACCGGTTTTATTATTTTTCCATTTTTTTCAAATATTTTGCGGCGATATTGGCTCAGTAATACGGCTTGGAGAGCACGTTCAAAAATTTCGGCGTCCGTTTGTAATACTCTTACTTCTTTGGAATAACCATCACGGCGAAACTGCTTGAGAGGATAATCGAAAATAAGTCTAGGAGCATATTTTTCTCAAATATTAGGATTGTTTTTATCTATTGTAGCGGTAAATTCCAAAAGAATATTTTGCGAGTTGGCAGCAAATATTTTATTGACTGTATTTTCCCAGGAACTTATTTCTTCTTTTTCCTCTTTGGAAGGTTTTGAGTCAGATTTAGTTTCCACATTGATGTGGTGTGCTTCATCAGAAATAAGAACAATTTTCTGGTCTTGAAAATCTTCATAAGTCAAACTATTTTCACGAGGAATATTTAAACGAGAATGAAGCCCTTGAATAGTTTCAAAACAAATATTAATATTATCGTTATCGGTAGTTTGAAAATTGTCTACTTCGCGTAGAGTAATTTTTTTGTTATCAAAAGAAATGGTTTTATTAAAAAGATATTTAATTGAAGTATCATTCAAAAAATTATCTCTGGTCTTATCAATAATATTAGTGCTATTAACAAAAAAGAGAAAATTACGATAGCCTTGTTGATATAAATACAAAATCAGTCCGGCCATCATTAAAGTTTTGCCACTGCCGGTTGCCATTAGAAATAGGAGTTGGTGTTGATTTGGTTTGCCTTCAAAATTCTCTTGTCAGTAGTTAATAAAATATTGGAACACTTCCTTTTGATAGTCACGAAGGGAAAATTTGGGGTTAAGATTTTCGTTTATTATTGACGGAAGTGAAGTAGACTTAATGTTTTTCTTTCCTAACTCTCTTTCTAATTGTTGATATAAAAATATACTTCCTTCCACGATTTTTTATTTTGCGTTATAAAATTGGTAATTAAGTCTTTTAACTTCCTCGGACATTTCATAACTTTCATCTTCCATATCACAATAAGGAACATACAAAAGATTTTTATCCAAAAGGGTAATTAAGAATTTTTGCTGGTCGGGAAAAGATAGTTCAGAAAATTCTTTTTTGGAATTATCAATGTTTTTGGGTTCCAGTTTATAACTCAAAAACCCATTTTTTTTCATTTGCTCCCAAATTTCTCAAAGTTCTTGCGTATTTTTTGCTGCTTGAATTTGATTAATAAATTGCTGATTAAATTCGGCTAATTCACAATAAGTAAAAGAACCTTTATTATCAATTTCACAAACTTTTCTAATTCTTTCTTTGGTTACGGTTTCAACATAATCCATTTGTTCGCAAATGATAAATTTCCGGTTTCCTCCATCTTGCTTATTAAGTTCTAATACCGCATGAGCCGTGGTGCCGCTGCCAGCAAAAAAGTCTAAAATGATAGCATTTTTGTCGTTTCCCGCTACCGCATAAAGGCAGTCACAGACATTTCAAAGGGATTTGGGGAAGGTGAATGGGGCGTCCGGCACCAAAGATTTAAGAATCTGTGTTCCGTAAATATTCGCATCGTATTTGGCATCAGTCCAGACAGTTTTGTAAGTTCCAAAATCTTTTCCTAATTCAATTTCATAGCCATTTTTCGTTTTTTTCACCCGCAAAAGTTCCTTAATTTTTTCTATACTTTGGCGAGCATAACGCCATTTTCTTTCAACTTTGTCCTTATCGATAGGCCAAACATAAAATTGACCTTCTTTCTCGGTCGTCTGCTTTTCCGGATGATAATCGTCGGCAACTACTTCTCCAAAACCGATTACTTTTTCATTTTCAATAATAATAGGATAAAAACAATTTTTAGCGTCCGTTCTCAAACTCTCTCCGCCTACATTACGCAGGTTCATTCAGTAAGCGTCAATCTTTTTCTCACCAATCGTTTTTTTGCCTTCGGGAATAACAAAAATAGCGTATTCATGAGTATAAGAAAAATTAGCACCTTGGGCTCCTCTTGGATTATGAACGATAGTTATAACATGAATTTCATAACCGCGAAATATTTCTTTCAGTAAAACAGTTAATTCAGCTTGTTCGTTTTTGTCAATTGCCACAATTAAACAACCATCAAAAGTTAATAACTTTTTAGCTATTTCTAACCGATTTTTCATAAAAGTTAATCAAGTAAGATTCGTTGAAACCATTATTGTAAACAAAAGTATTAGATTTACTATCCGGATTATAAGGAGGGTCAATGTAAATTAATTTGATTTTGCCCTGATACTTTCCTTTTAGTGAATAAAGAGAAAAAAGATTATTGCCTTTGATAATTAAATTGTCGTTTGGCAAAATATCGTTAATTGGCACTTCTTTTCCTGCTTCGTATTTTTGAAAATTAGTTAATACTTTGGGCGTTAGTAAGCGGTCAATTTCGTCCGGTGCCAGGGTTTCATTTCAAAAAATCTCATGTCTTTTCGCATCCTCTTTGGTCTGTCCTCCTTCCAAAATGCAGTCTTTATAAGGTCATGCCAAAACCACTTCTTTACTGTCAGCGAGATATTGTCCGTTAGCGGTTAATCCTATTTTGTTTTTATATTTAGTAAAACTATCCGGGAGAAATTGTTTGTTAGAAACGAAACTTTGAAATTTTATTTTGTCAAAAACCAGAATATTTTCTACTTCTTGGAAAAATGCTTTTTTAATTTCTGGGGAAGAAAGTAAGAGTTTTAAAAGTTCTTTGTCTAATTGGAATGCTAATTCGATAATTTTGTTTTTGGCAAGATGACCGTCTATTATTAGCCGCTGGTCTTTTTTGAGGAGTTGGGTTAATTTTTCTAGTACGTTCATTTTTTCACCACTATTTTTTTTAGTTCAACATTTTCATTAGTTTACATGTTTAATTATTCTTATATTAGATCAGTAGTTTTGAGAATTTAAAAAATTCCGTTTTTTTGAAGTTGTTCTCTAATTTGGTCGGCTTTCTGATATTGCTGGCTATTGCGGAGTTTGTGTCATTGACTAATAAGTAGTTTGGTAGAAAAATCATAAGTAGGTACATCAAACTTAAAACCCAAAATGTTCAGAATGAAATATAAATCGCTAATTTTTTCCTCTAACTCAACAGTAAATTTTTCCTCCACGATGCTTTTATTGAGAAAATTAATAATTTTTTTCAGCAAATAAAGGACTTTTATGGTATTAAGGTTGTTGGATAAATGTTGAATGACTTCCTGATAAGTTTCAGTTTTGATAAACGTTTTCTTTATTCCGGTAATATTTTTTTGGTAAAGATAAAAGTTTAATTTTTTGAGTAAGTTGATAATTTTCTGAGTGTAATTTGTTGCTTGTTGAATTAACTCCTCGCTGAGATTAATTACTTGATTATAACGACTGTTTGAGACTAAATAACGAAGAACATTAGACCCGTATTTTTGGTGAAAATGTTTGGCTAAAATAACATTTCCCAACGACTTTGACATTTTTTCTTGGTCTTGATGGATATGGGCTGTATGAAGTCAGATTTTACTTAATTCTTGGTGGTTATGGGCTAAATATTGTATTCTTTCGTTTTCGTGGTGAGGAAATAAAAGGTCATTGCCTCCACCATGAATGTCAATAGTTTTTCCGGCAAAAAGCTCCTGGATAAAAACGGCACACTCGGTATGTCATCCTGGTCGGCCTTCCCCTCATGGCGAAGACCAGTTAATTCCCACGGCGGTTTTTTTTCACAAAACAAAATCTTTTTTATCTCTTTTAGCAGTTGAAGTAATTTTCCGGGTATCTCCCCTCAACTTCATTAAATTTTGCCCCGAAAGTTCACCGTAGTTTGGTTGGCCGGCTACGTTAAAAAGCACTTCTTCTGCTTGCTGGTAAGCGGCGTTTTTTGCGAGTAAATTTTTAATGAATCTTTGAATAAAAGGAATATAATCGCTTACACGGGGAAAATAAGTTGGAAAAAGGATATTATACCACACTAAGTTAGCCAAATAAGCCCTGGTATAATGGCTAGTAATTTTTTTCTCAGACGATTTTTCCTGTTGGGCCTTAACAATAATTTTGTCATCAATATCAGTAATATTTTGCACGTAATTTACGCTCACGCCTAGGGTTAGCAATAAACGATGAAGAACATCAAAAATAATCACCGGTCGTAAATTACCGATATGAATATGGTCGTAAACCGTGGGTCCACATAAATAGATGGTTATATCATTCCCCGCTTCCAGTTTTAATCCTACTAACTCTTTAGCCTGTGAATTAAACAATTTTAACTCCATTAATAAGGATTTAACAACCAAAAATAGAAAAAAACATTCTACTTTTCATCTCACTACTCTTAATCTACTTTTCGGTATTAGACAACATTAATAAAACAACAGAAATCTAAACCGAAATTTAGCATCTTGGTGGGAGGAGAGGGACTCGAACCCCCAACCAATTGATCTACAGTCAACTGCTCTACCAATTGAGCCATCCTCCCTAATTGGTGCTGATTGTAGGAGTTGAACCCACAACCTACCGCTTACAAGGCGGTTGCTCTACCAATTGAGCTAAATCAGCTTTACATTTATCCTAGTAGATTCTAGAGTAATATTAAACCTTTTCTCTTTGTTCTTTCTCCGGTATTTCTTCTTCCTTTTCTTTTTTTCAAGAGGTAAGCAAATATTTTTTATCGTTTAAAAAAGTTATGCTTTTACATTTAATTCCTCAACCGCCTGGAAATTGTGTTCATACTCCCCGCAAAAGACAAATTTTTCCTTTCAGATTTACAGGAAACAAATAATCCTTTAACAAATTTCACGTGAAAGAACATCAAAATCACCCTTCTTCATTTTGAAGTTTGACCAGATAATATTTATTGTGGTATATATTCCTTTTAATTATTTCATTTTCTAAAAACTGTGCTATTGTTTGGGCCATTTTATTTTTTTAATAATGGTAGAGTATGCCGGATTCGAACCAGCACCCTCCCGCTTGTAAGGCGGATGCTCTCCCGTTGAGCTAATACTCTTTTTTACACTTAGATATAATATTTTTGTCTAAAATTGAATGCCAAATTGCCGCATGGTTTCACAAAATATCTTGATTTTACCATGATAAAGATAACCATTGCGGTCAAAAACAATTTGGTTTATCCCTGTTTTTTTTAACTTAATAGACATGGCTTCCACTAATTTTTGAGCCCAAGCCTTACTTTTTCGGAATTTAGTATTAATTTGGTTAAAATCGGCCGTAGAAGCCGCAACCATGGTATGGCCTTGGTTATCATCGATCGCTTGCACTGATAAATAACGGTTGGATTTATAAATAACTATTCTTGGTTTTTGTTGAACGCCTTTAACTAGATTACTCCGCATTTTTCTTAACTTTCGTCGGCTATTTCTTTTTTCCATAACTTAACATTTTTAAGTTTATTATTTTATTTAATGGTCACATAACTACAAGTCTGCCCAGTTCCCAACTCCAATCGTTATTAATGGAGTTAGCGGAGATTAAGAAGGTTAGTGTTGACGATTTAAAGGAGTTTTTAGTTGAAAATCA